ACTACAGTGTCCTTGTGTGGTGCACATGACACCCCAGCTCCACCTACTCTGGTTGTCCTCCGTGGTAACGGACCCCACATTGTAAGGCAGACACTGTGTGATTCCAGGTGAAGCCAATCCTAAGCAGCCAGGCAAGCAGAAAGAGGGGGTCCCTGGAGGCCCCACTGTCTTCCTCGGTCCATCTGCATCACCTGAAAGCAGTTCCAGGGCTCGTTGAAGCTTCCAGCCCTGCTGCAGCTGACATTCCCTGCTCTATTCTTGGGATGCTCATCCTGCTAGGTCTCTGTCAGAAGTACATCCACCCAACAGCTCCCTCTCACACAAGCTCCTATCTGCCCTCCTCCTTGGGGACTCTCTGGAAAGGGAAGACTACAGTGGTTCTTTCCTATGCTGATCGACTCTATGTGACATCGTGTAGGGTTCAGCCCCACGTGGAACAGCTGAGGGTGGGGAACCAAGCTCACGCTGGGCCTGGTGCAGCCACAGCTCGTGTGACCTGGGGATCAGTAGTGGTCACCTTACAAGCATAGTGCCGGGGAGTGTGGGGCCTCACTTCACTGTCCTTATGACTTTTAAAATAAAATACATCACAGATATGAGAGCATCCTCAGTCTGTTGAGCTTGCTGCAGGGAAGCCCGAGACCTTTGAAGAGCTACTATCTGAGCCCTCCAGGAGCAGGGGACAGCACAGTGACTTCTCAGTTCCCTCTAGGAATTTTCTCGCTTTCATGAAGAGATCCTGCCCATGTATGACCGGCTGCAGAATAACAGGAAGGAGTGGAAAGCACTGGCTGATGAGTATGAGGCCAAAGTCAAGGCCCTAGAGGAAGAAAAGAAGGAAGAAGACAGAACAGCAACCAAGAAAGGTCTGGACCCCACAGAGGACTGGGATGGGCTCAGAGTCAACGCCCGAGTCAATGCTGTAACATGGGACAAAAAAAAAAAAAAAAAAAAAAAAAAAAAAAAAAAATCACCAAGGAGTCAGAAAGGGAGGCTAATTCATATAGCCCAGCAGCTGAGGCTGAGATTCTGGAGCCAAAGAATGCCCATCCATCTCTCCTGTCCTTCAAGGGGCATAGCTGCTCATGCCATGCAGATAACAGATCAGACCGAAATGTTCTCTCACTCAGACAGGAATGCTATATTCCTATACATGAGAAGTGAGCTCACTGAATAAGGCAGTTTCAATAAGTAGTTGTTCCCAGGTGTGGTAGCACATGCCTGTAATCCCCCAAAACTATCCTCAGAAACCAAAGAGCAAATCTGAATTAGACACAACACAAAGGCAAAAACGAAATCAGTGAGCTAAGCAAGAGTTAAATTGTCAGTGCTAACCTGTATCCTGTGACTCAGTTAACAACCCACTGCACCCCAGATCAAAATCCCAGTGATATTATCTTTTCCAGGGTTTATTTACCCTGGGCCTGGGGTTCTCCACAGCCATTGAGAGAGCACACTGAATAAGGCAGCTTCTGGGTCATGGGAGGTCAGGGCTGAAAGTAATCAGGGCGCAGTGACCGGAGAGGCTCAGGCACTGAGACTCAGCATAATCCGCTTGGGTTGTTCTCAGATCCAGTTTAACCCCTGGAGGGAGAACCTACTGGCGCTATTAGAGGGCACCTGGTGTAGAAGGCAGACCAAGCGACCACTCAGTCTATCTTCTCTTGCAGTGGGCACAGAAATTTGCAATGGTGGTCCAGCACCCAAGTCCTCAACCTGCTGTATCCTGTAAAACCTATCTAGTGGCTGCTGGGCCCTCCTGCCACTCACCCACTGGAGACGACTCTGCAGCTTGGTATAAGACATTATGAAACAGCAGAAGAAAAAGATCAAATATAACTGAATATTTTTAAATTGTAAAGGTTTTTTTTTTTCAAATTAAAGCCAGCTATGAATGTTAAATGGTTTAGTCCGTATTTATCTGGTTTGATGAAGTTCCCACAAAGATCTTTACAAAAGGATTTGCGAATTGACTTAAGTCAGAGCGCTACTCTTGTACACACGTGTGCATATAGGTATTCAGTTCCATCTGCTAACATCACTTGACGGCACATCATACTTGATCCATTGAGAGCTCTGCTGGGTCAAAGCTGTGAGCAGGGCTGAGATCCAATGGAAGTGGCCCGAATGGGGATAACCTGTACTGAAAGCCTGGGTGGGATCCTCCTGAAGGAACCAGTCAGCAGATCTGTCTGCTATAAACACTGCAGCTGTTTGTTGTTAAGTTCAGTGGGACTTCACAAGACTAGGCTTTTAGACACACACTATCTGGCAGAGAACAAACTCATGGGATCCCAGCGAAATTGTTTTCCCAGTCCTGGGAAGAGAATACATCTAGCAGTTTGACTTCAGCACTGGGAAGAGGTGGCAAATTTAATCCTGAGTCCAAGATAGTGGGATACCATTTCGGGGAAGTGGAGGGGGGAAGCAGCTTTTCACTCAGTCTGCTTTTTTTTTTTATACCAAATACAGGGCTTTCAAGCACACATATGCAGCTTCTCTCAACTCTCTTTAAAATAATAATAAGGCTCTAAACCTATGAAACCTGTGCAAGGCATAAAACTGAGGGAGCAGTAACACTTCTGCTTTGCTTCTGGTTGCTGTAATAACCATGACCAAGAGCAACTTGGGGGTTAAGGGTTTTTTTGGTTTACATATCTCCATAACAGTCCATCATGGAGGATGGACCATCAGGACGGGAACTCAAGCAGGAACAGAGACAGAAACCATGGAAGGATGCTGTTACTGGCTTGCTCAGCTTGCTTTCTTACACAGTCCAAAACCATCTGCCCAGGAGTGGTACCACCCACAGTGGGCTGGACAGTCCCACATCAACCATCAGTTAAGAGAATACCCCATAGATATAACCATGAGCCAGTTTGCTAGACAATTCCTCGATAGTGGTTCCCGTTTCCCAGATGACTAGTTTGTGTCAAGTTGAAAAAAACTAGTGGCCAGGATACAGGAACCCAGGGGTTCGGATGGAGGGCCACCTTCCAAGACCCAGGGGAAATTATGAGTCGGGTGGTACAAGACCCATGTTATTGTGAAGGCATCAACCCCCACCAGCCTTGTACAGGGCCTGAGCAGCTGACAAAAGCAGTCGAGCTCAGAGCAGAGTGAGCTGCATCCAGGCGGCTAAGCCACTATTTCCTTGGCATCCTTGGAGCCCAGCTAGGCCTTACCTCGGCACCCTCCCAAGCTGCACTTTGTATCCACATCAGGCAATGATCACGAATTCCATTGAAACCGCCCCCTCCCCCATGAAAACCCAGGAAACAACTGCAGAGCCGGTCTAGAAGCAAACAACCAAGGCAGTAAAGAGAGGCAGCCGGAGCATCGCACGACAAAGCTTTATTCATCCTCAGCGACTTAAGAAAGGCAAGCTCACTGACGCTTCACTTGAGTATGCTGTCGTCTTGAGCTGAAAATCGAGAAGAGACAGTGTCATATGTTATACACACTCGGGCTTCCTGCGAGGACTTCAGGACTGCATTTATAAAAAACCCAGAATCTAATTCCAAGAGAACCTCACTTTTGATACTAAAACCATCCCTTGCATCCCAGGGCAATGCCCACTCCACCTGACTGGAATCTACAGGAAGTCAATAGAGAGGGGTCAGAGGGCCTGCTCATTGGCAGCCTCTCTGAAGACAATGCTGCAGCATGGCCGGCCTGCACATTCCGCTAGGCTCCACGGAGGACAGCAGCTACTTCCAGAAAACCTGGGTGTGGGGAGTGGAGCTAAAAGCCATACCTTCTGCCCGTTCTCTTTCAATCCGTTTCAGCTCATCTAGTCTCTTCTTCTCCTCCGCTGCCACCCTCCTCTCCTCCTCTGCCCGGGGCTTTAGGTAACCTAGAGGGCGGAAGGAATTAACTTCCTCCCCAAAAAGCCGACCCCAGAATCTCCTGGCAGCTGTTCCCTCCCACCTGCTCCCCTGTGGCCCAAGCATCGTCTCCCTCCCCGGGAGCTGCAAGCCCGGCAATCCCACACACCCCGAACCCCGCACTCCGGGTCCCTGAACTCACTATAGCGCTTGGCACCGTAGGCCATGCCAAGGACCAAGGCTGAGTATCGGCCGAGCTGCAGGAAAAAAGACGTTAGAGCAGAAGGACGAGGGGATCGGAGATGGAGGAGTACGGGTAGAGGGGCACAGGGCAGGGGGTTGCAGGGGTCGCCAGGCCCGGGACTGCCTTGAGACCACAACCAGCAGTCTCGAGAGGGTGGGCGATGCTAAGTCGGGGTAGTGGCAAGGGGCATTCAAGGGCTCTGAGCACCGTGCGCGACGGTGAAGAGGGTTCACCTTGATGAGCGGAGAGACCTGAACTGGGGGCACCATCTTGTCCGTGACCTTCGCACCGGAAGCTTAACTGAGGCGGAAGACTCGGCAAAGAGCAAAGGCCTCCTCCTGCAGCCAGGAAAGCGCATGCGCCATAGCGAACACGCGCCCCCTGGTGGCCGGAGGGTAGAGGTGCATTCCCGATGAGCTGGTTACGAAGTCATTGCGACTGCGTGTGCTAGATGACTTCAGGAGGGCGGAGACTTGGAGCCACGTTACTTCTGCACTGGCAAGTAATGAGCGACCGATTCTGGAATCCGTCGCCCACCTTCTCTGAACTGGAGCAAGCAAACAATTCGTTCCTCTCTTGGAACAGACGGTCACACCCAGGAGATCCGCCCAGGGCGGTCTTTGGGAGTGGGGGCCAGATTACAGACTTTGTTTTGGTCCTGCCTGAGAAATCTTCAACCTTCCAAGCCTTTTCTGCAACTGCCTGCCCTGAATGCGTCGCCTTCTGGCCAGTGCAACCGGGTTTTCACACTCAGAGCCACTTCAGGTTTTGAGATCTTACAGTTGAAGGTCATTCAAACCGGGCTGACCTCTGGGTCTTTCAGCCCACACTCTTGGGATCCCTAATGACCCTCTCTGCGGGGCTTCATGGGGACGGACTATGAAGCACCCAAACTGGTTTTTCGCAGGCACTGTCCCCAGAGTGGGTCCCTCTTTAGTAACTGTGTCCACCTAGACCAACAGTTCTCAATCTGTGGGTCACGATCCCTTTGACAAGCCTCTAGCTCCAAAAATATTTACATTATGATTCGTTTTGTTTGTTTGTTTGTTTGTTTGTTTTTTCAAGACAGGATTTCTCTGTAGCTGGAGTCTGTCCTGGAACTAGCTCTTGTAGACCAGGCTGGCCTCAAACTCATAGAGATCAGCCTGCCTCTGCTTCCCAAGTGCTGGGATTAAAGGCATGCTGGCTACATTTCGATTCATAACAGTAGCAACATCACAGTTATGAAGTAGCAATGAAAATAATTTTGTGGTTGGGGGATTATTAAAGGGTCGCAGCAATAGAAAGGTTGAGAGGCACTGGCCTAGATTGAAGCTGTCCTGCCATGGGGCAAACATCAGACAAGCTCCTTACCAGCTGTGTCCGCCATTGGCATGCAGTCTCTGTGGAAGTCAGGCATGGCGAGGTTGTAACCATCCATTGGCTGGCTTTACCCCAATGCCCAGCAGTGACTTGACGTCTCCCTAAGGTTGTCATTGAGTCAGCCTCCTCAGTTTTACATTGCATCAGGGCTTGGAAGAGCACACAGTCCACAGGGATAGGGTACCTTCTCCTGACTCCTCATTTAGTCTCTATTTGTAAAGAGAATGTAACTGTGAATATAAAGTCGATAAAATGTAGCAATGAGAAACCTCAGAGCGCATAATAGGCGCTCAGCTATCCTGAAGGGAGGAATCCTTGCAGAGAGTGGAGGGGCTATCCTGGCAGTCAGAAGAGGAACCCCTGCCCTAAGGCCTGGAACTGTGCCTGCATTTGGTCTGGAGTCCAAGTCCCTGAGCCTCCTCTGTTGGAATCCTAGAAAGTTCCCTGAGCTGGGAACAGAAATACCCAGACCATATGCCACAGGTGCGCCACGTCTTTTCTCGCCCTTGATAAGTCTGATCTTTGGCTCCCCACCCCCATCCCTACCCAAGCCTGCCTGAGACAGGCAGACTCCTGCCTTCTGAACCATTGCTCCCTGAGGAAGCTGCAAAGGCACGCTGACCTACAAGGCACCAAATAAACCTCCTCACCCCTCACAGCCATCTGCATACTGAGCCCCCTCCCTTTCCTGCTCTTAAGCAACTGGTTAGATAACCTTAGGTGACCAAACAGGTTTCCCTCACTAGACCTAAACTCAGACTCCTGAGCAGCTCAGGCTTCCAGATCTGAAGCTGTCTCTGGGGCCCACGGGGTGTGTGGCTGAGGGGTGAGTGCACAGAAGCTACCTGCAGGAGTAGGGGCAGAAGAAGCACCTGACACCCACACTGGCACAGCATGCAGATGACTGGCTTGGCATCTGCTTTGGCTCAGGATCATTTGTGGGGACAGCGTAAGTGGTTAAGGTTCCGCACAGCTCAGGACACCACTGGGACAATTCTGCACCTGTTGAAGACAGCTGTGTGCAGAATCTAAATATTCCCAACATGCTATCTTTAGTGCTGTGCTCAGGTTGAGCCAAGATCCTCCCTGGGGTCTGGGGGCCCTCTCAAATTTAGAGCTTACCACTCCTGCAGCTGAGCTAAACCCAATCGAGGCCCTTCACTCTCAGCTACCATTCCCATTCCTGAACAAACTCCCACCCCTGGCAATTCCCCCTGGAGGTCTGAGGTAGCATCTGGGAAGGCAATTCTGTGACTGAGGCTATGACCCTGGGGGCAGGACAGGACCTCTGACAATGCACAGTATGGAAGATGTCACAGCTTATAAATGTACCAGGGTAGGATTGCCCAGCTATCAGATTATTGGGCCAGAGCCTTTCAGCACCTCTGCTGATCTTGAACAGATAGCACTCTATCCTCAGTACCTATAGTTTCTGCAGCATCCAGTTGCCTAGGACGACTCAGACCCCCAGCCTTTGGCCAATAATTTGGCACAAGGCCATGAAAATGTAGCATTCTTGGCAGAATAAAAACCTCCTGGTGCCTAGGCCGAGATTCGGGGTATCTGAGTAACCACCAGGCTACCTAGGCTTACTCTGCAGCTGTCCAGTTCCCTGGGATGGCAGTCCTCAGCCTGTCCTTGTAGGAAGTGGTAACCAAAGTCTGCGCTATCCTAGGGGGACAGACAGCATCTTAGGACAAGCAAAAAGCTGGATCCTGGGCAGGAAAGACTCAGGCATGATGAGCAGGCAGCCAGGGAGGTGCAGGGCAGGAGCATCCAAGCGTGTATACACACATTCACTTATACATGGGTGTCTTTAAGTGTGCGCTCATGTGAACATACACAATGGTGTGGGTGTAGAGGTACATGCCCCACGGTTGCCATGGTAACAAACTGGACAGAATGAGGGAGGGTATGAGCATGGGATGCATGAGTCCATCCTTGGAGTCCATTTACCCAGAGCCCTCTAGGACTGGACACAGTGGACTGACTGAACCCTCCAGTGCCACAGTTCCCCCATTGTGTGAGTTAAGTCTCCCAAACCGTGGGTTGTCCCTGAGTGTTCCCCCAGTTGCTTCAAAGCCCTCATCCTTGGCGTTCCTGCCTCTCACGCCAGCAGGAATACCAAGGAAAATGGCACTGCATACCCAGAGAGCACCCTCCAATATCTTCTCTAACTCTGAGCAGACCCAAGTTCTGGAAGTTCTAGGAGGTGAGTCTGCCTTTGCTCCCTGGGAGCCCCTCATACAGTTGGTATAGGGGGACACGTGGCCTCAGAGTGTATGTCCCTATGGTGGAACAGAGCCAGGTGTGGGAATAAAGGTAGGAGCTGGGGCAAAGCTGGGACACCAGCAGTGCAATAAGCCTGGCATCGACTCCTAGGTCCTCACGCTCATGGATAAGAACAGCGATAGCTTCATTGACAAAGAGGACCTATAGGATACTTACACTTCCTTGAGTAGGTGTGATCTTATCCTCAAGTATAGCAAGGACATTGTCCCTAAATGCTGACACACGCTCATATTTTGGGGGTATTATGGCCACCTGTAGGTTTGTTTAGTTTCCTTTAGTTATACTAAAGGACTTTGCTCTCGGGGGTCTCAGAATAGCTCCTCAAGACTCTGGTTTGTTTAAAGCTGGCAGAGGGTGTTCAGGATGGTTAGAAAACTGGAATGGATTTGAGGCAGGAACTGGAGAGGCAACCCAGTGCCCCGTTGCATCCCCACCCCTCCACATTACCCCTAGGCTCACCCTGTGGGCTTGGAAGAGTGTGTACGGGTCGGCCTACTCATATCTCAGAGCCAGATGCCAGCTCTTCCCTCACCTTCAAGTCACTTCAGCTGGCAATTAGCCCTCTCTGTCTCAGTGGCCTGCCATGGACATTCCTGAGGCGGGGCGCAAGAGCCTTGTGTCCTACCTCAGAAGCTGGGAAAGGCAGTTATATTTTACCTGGAATGGGGGTTCCTTCCCTATATTTGAGAACAGAAACAGTCCTCAACTTTCTCCTTCCTCCACAGAAGACGGTGTCCTTAGATTGACTCCAGCCTGTATCCCCCACACTTGGGCCAAAAGACACTGTCTTTTTTTAATTATTATTTTTATTGAGCTCTACATTTTTCTCTGCTCCCCTCCCTGCTTCTCCCCTCCCCTTCAACCCTCTCCCAAGGTCCCCATGCTCCCAATTTACTCAGGAGATCTTGTCTTTTTCTACTTCCCATGTAGATTAATGTAGATTAGATCCATGTATGTCTTTCTTAGGTTCCTCATTGTTGTCTAGGTTCTCTGGGATTAATTTGTAGGCTGGATTTCTTTGCTTTATGTTTTAAAACCACTTATGAGTGAGTACACATGATAATTGTCTTTCTGGGTCTGGGTTACCTCACTCAAAATGATGTTTTCTAGATCTATCCATTTGCCTGCAAAATTCAAGCTGTCATTATTTTTTTCTGCTGTGTAGTACTCCATTGTGTAAATGCACCACATTTTCCTTATCCATTCTTCGGTCGAGGAGCATTTAGGTTGTTTCCAGGTTCTGGCTATGACAAACAATGCTGCTATGAACATAGTTGAGCACATGTCCTTGTGGCACAATTGAGTATCCTTTGGCTATACACCCAAAAGTGGTATTACTGGGTCTTGAGGAAGGTTGTTTCCTAATTTTCTGAGAAATCGCCACATTGACATCCAAAGGGGCTGTACCAGCCTATCTAGCTCTCTGTAGACTCTCTCACCATCAGAGCCCTGGTTCCCAAATGGAAGCCAGATCGACCTATGTGGGTCAACAGAGGTTCTTCCGGCCCAGGAATAGGAAAGATTCCTTAGATGGTACAGCAAGACTAAGCACTGGATGCCCTAGGACAAGATAGGACTCTCAGAGACCATCCTAAAGGCCTTCAAAGTGCTCAACCTTGATGGCAGGGGCAGCATCCACAAGGAATAGTGAGTCTGGCTTAGGGGCTAGGGAATATCCACTCTGAAAAGAGACATGCCTGGGCCCAAGTCCACCTCACCAGGCCCTCTTGAACTCTTAATTCCAGGGCCTCAAATAGCCACCCTGAGACCCTAAGAGCAGAGTCATTTGGAATAACTAAGAGAAGGGTTATTCCTGCTATCTGGCCCTTTATTACCCAGGGAGGCATTGTCCATCTATTGCTGTCTTAAGCCCCTTTCATAGATGGCTGACTTAAACGTAGCACACTCCGTCAGGTACCTGCTGTGAGTCACCATGGGCTCCAGGGACCATTAGGCACCTGGGTTTTGACAACAGGTTGGTAGGAGGTACACATCAGACTATCTTCAGGCCTCCCCACAGAGGGGCCACAGTAGGAACTTTCCACTCTTCCTCAGAGCAGCTAATCCGTCTCTTTCCACTCTCAGCATCAAAGGTCTACTGATGTCCCAAGCTAACAAGATGACTGCAAATGAGGTTCGCCCAACCCCCACCCCTATGGCTTCTGCAATCCCAAGTATATCAGAGGGCAGCTAGGGGCAGCATTCCCCCAAAAGTATACACCACCACTCTGCTACTAGCTAGCTTAGTAATAGAGGCAGCAGACTAGGAGTCAGGAATAAAGTGTAGGTCCTAGCTTGTCTATACCATGCATTCCTTACCTTCACCAGGACAGGACTCCCAGTAGCCCCTCCCCTTCCCCAACCCCTCTTGGTCTTACCTACTCCTTCCATCCCTCTTCTGACCCCACCTAGCATACATCCCTAGCCCCTCCCTTGCCTGGGTTCTTAGTTCTCTGCCCCTTTCCACCCCTGAACAGGTCAACCAAGAATCAGGAACCGACTGAATGGAGTCAAGTGCCTGAAATTTACTGTGTCTGGGCTGGAGCCCAGGAACCTGGTCTCTCCCCGCTCCCACCCCCACCAACTTGACGTCTTCGCCAATACCCTACCCATCTTGGGCTGACTTTTAGGAGAATCAGATGCGAAAGTTTGCTTTCATTGATGTGGCTGGCAACCTAGACTACAAAATGCTGAACTATTGGTCCTCCCACGTGCAAGAGGCAGCATGAGCTTCTCCATCCTTCAGGCTGCAAGCTGTAGCCAGTTCAATAAAGTGGGACACACAAACTTGCCTGTGAGTGTTCATTAGAGGGGGTGTATCTACCAGAGATCCTTCTGCTCCCTACCCTAAGACCAGCTCACCCCTCTCTGTGCTATCCTAGAATCAGGCTAAGTGTCTGGTCGTACAGTTAAGACAAAAATCTTTCTACACCTGTCCACCTCAGACTGGCCATGCCATGGTCCCCAGAACTCCCTCAGTTTCTTGCCAGGAATCCTCCACTCACTCTGGCCCCTGAACAGACACTCCCTGCAACAGCCACCACAAGTCTGGCTTGGCCAGGGTCTACCCTAACTGACCAGTATCCACACAACAGCAGTTATTTTCAATCTATCATTGTCTACCTAAGGACCAAAAGGCAATCCTGTCATGCCCTAGGTATGCTAAAGACTTTGTGTCCCTGTTAGAGTTTTTAGCGTGACAGGCACAGACAAAGAGACCCTAGCAAGTCTCTGCTTTACCAGATGTCTCTGCCCATTCTGAGTGTCCTTTGGGAAGAGGGGCAGGACAAGGAGCTTCCTGCAAGGCCCCAGCTGGAGGTGTTAAGCCAGAAGTCTCAAGGGGTGGTGGCACTTGGGTGGAGCTTATTATCGTTGGCTCCCTGCCACATGTCCTGGGTGAAGGGGGCCCTCCAGACTCGGCCTCCAGGCGTCGATACGGGGTGTTGAAAAAGAGCACCAAGACGCAGGTGAAAACGGTACACAGGCCAGCCATCAGCAGCAGAGACACTAAAGACACAAGCACAGGTCTGTCCCTCAACTGCCCAGGCAGTCAGGGTTCCCAACTTCTACCACAGGCAAGCCTTCGTAGACCTGACACAGCTGACCCTAGTGACAGTGACCACAGAGAGGTCCGCAGACAGTCTTGGTCTCTGGCCTCAAAAGCCCACAGGATGTTCTCAGACCCAGGTTCCAACAGCTGGGAACCACAGGTTATAGGGACACGGGTGTACTTCTGGTCTCTAACCACAGTCATCCGAAAACCTCTATCTCTGTCTCTTTCAACCCTGTCCATCTCTGATCAACCTCCCCCCATCTGTCCAGGTCTCCCTTTCTCTCTCTGTTCCTGTAAATTTCTATTTCTATCCCCATCTTTGTCTCTTTCCCTCCTTTTCACTTTAAGATCTCTGCCCCCTTTCTAAGATCTGTCTCTATATTCCTGGATTTCAAAACATGTCACGGGGGGGGGGGGGGGGGGGGGGGGGGG